GCGCCTCTTCCTTTCTGATGGCATCCAAATGGGCGGCTTTTTTTAACCATACGATCACATATCTCCCGCGAATGCATCTCGCACCCCTTTTCACCCCTCGAATCTCGAGAAGCCACGATCGAGCCCATCCAAGCCGCCAAACAAATGACGCTTGAAACTAACGAAAGACGACGACAACGGCGTTTGTCCGTGCTGGCACGCATGGAATTTAACCACCCTCCGGTCGCCTCCCCCCGCCTATCACGAAGAAGGGAACAGAAAAATATCGCCACCGGATTTTTGTCTCGGTTAGCCAAACGCTTCTGCTTAATGGTTCGCGCGACGCTTTCGGGGGGGGGGGGGGAGGAGAATGCTTCAAGCAAATCGTGATGGTATAACTTTGGTGCGGAAGAATAAGTTTCTAGGATGTAGGAAGATGGGGAGATTTTTTTAATTTTCAGCATATTATTTTGTTTCCGTGTCATTTGCTATAGCAATTTGCTATAACAACTTTCAAATAATGACCTAACTACGACTGAAACGACGATGTCAACGAGAAGATATCTCTCATGTTTTACTTCTTTGAAATTTTTATACTGGAACTTGATGACATGAGAAAATTATAGAGCCTAATAAAATTGCTTTTTGTTAAAATTATAGGAATCGAATAAACAATGTAACAAAATATATATAAATGAAAATATATAAATAAATATCATACAAAAGATGGAGGTTCGAACATCGTTTAGTACACCCTACTCTTCTTCCTTTCAATACCTTAATGTTAGTCGGCGTTACGAGTCTTTGTCTTGGATTTGTCCCCTTTCTGTGCGCGTGGTGCAAAGGGGTTTTCACCGTCGCCCGAGTTGTACTCGAGGATGAAGCTTTATTTAGCAGATGATATTTACGACTTCCAATCCCACGAGACCCTCCCAACTTTTATATTGTCTTTGGCAGAGTTACGCTTTTGGCGATGCTGCACCACCTCCCGCTTCGCTTCCCCTTTCATCGACTCCGTTCCGTTCGATTCGTTCGTCTCAACCATTGAAAAGATGCTGCCGACGATTTGGAAAGCGCACCTAAATGGAATTAAGGTCGTTCACGGTTTGCCGTAAAGCTCGATTTTGCCGCCGAATATCTACCGTGAATAAAATAAAGGATTTCGAAACGGTGCTCAAGCTAAAAGTCGCCGTTAAGATTTTGATTATTTCTATAATTTTCACGAAATAGAGCTCTACTGCAAAATTATATATATTTCTTCTAATTACTAGAACATTATACGTCATGGATCGTTAAATATTTCATGCGCACAAGAAACAAATACGGATATATTCGCCTTACCGAGTCACCCTTCATTCGAAATATCGTCATCCGGAGCACGGGGAGTCGCAAACACCAGAAGCAAACATAATATGACGAGCGCTTCGGGCTACACGGGAGGAGCAAACCTCTTCTCTTACAGTTATTTCTGCGTTGACATCTGATACGCGGGAGAGCCGCGATGGACAGCGACCCTTTGTAATCCTCCTCGAGTCTCTCGTCAAAACTAATCATTGTAATCTAAAAAATGCTGATGATTTCGCCGCAGAAAAAATTTAATAAAGTCTGTATGCAAAATTTCGGAGAGAAATTTCTTAATAAAATCTCTAGAAATTTTGCATTTTGTAATCACGTGTGTAAAATCTAATATAAGACTGGCTTTACCTCGCGAAAGAAATTGAACAACTGCCTGATCTCATTGCCGAGCTGTCGATAGTGCGCTTCATTTTTCATCCGGCTAACCGAATTTGTCGAACTCGGACCTGCGCCAAGGGTGGGATCTAATTTTAGGGCCATTCCGATGGATACGAGCTTCCACCCTCGTCGACCGATAGTCGTGAACTATCATTTGTACGAATTACATCGCCATCCCTTCTTGCATCACCGATCGTTTGTTATTATTAGCTTCAGCGTGCAGCTTGTAATAGTTTCGTTATATCTTCCGCAAGACGAAGCGAACGTCTTACATTTCGGACAGTTTCCTTCGTATATTTGTGAGCGCTTCCGAAAAAAAGTATTTGACATTGGTATAAATATATCTTATACAGTATCAAAAAAGATAATACTGTTTTTGATTTGCTAACCTATCTATAGCTAATTTATCTCAAAGTACGTAGGTTGCGTTTGTCTAGTAATTGATGACGCTGAATATTAAAGGACGATAATGGCTGCGGCCAATTGAACTGGGCGAACCGCGTCAAAAGAATCGACGAAATAATTACGTCAGGCAGACATCTTCCAATCTTCCTGGCAGGTGGCTAAAGCTTTCATCTTCAGGAAGCATGAGGAGACTCTGGTATCCGCTGATAGGGTTCGAGCTCGTCCCGATCCGCTGATACGAGGATGACAGGAGGGGGGGGAGGGAGTTGTGCGCGGTGGATGGAAATTATACGTACATAAGAGGAACGGAAGGTGAGAGACTGGTACGTTAAAGAAATTAGAGAGATAATTCCTCGGACGAATACCCAATTTACCCTTTCGTCCGTAGCGAGCGCCCTGGCCTTATTATCTAAAGTGCTCGGCTGGCGAGAGAGGGTAGCGAAAAAATAAAAAAGAACACTCTCTCCTAACGGAAAAGGCGGAGGGTCGGGCGGGGCTGGTGGCAGCTTGGAAGGACAAAAAGTACTAAAGTATACCTCCGACCTTCTCCTAGCGAGCGTCGCGCTATCCGGAACTCGGAGCGGTAGCGGGATGCCGGTGTGCTGGGAAACTTTTTTCGGCTCCTATAATTTATTTACGGCTGAGATATTTTTCTCCGAGCTTCAACACCTTCGCCAACGTGAAAAAGGGGTAAACGAACGCCCCTTAAGTGATTCACCTTTCTTATTTTATCCGCAATTGCGTCTTTCTTCTTTCTATTCTTTCTATTGATACTTATTCTCTCTTTTTTTATGTTCGCGTTTATGAATACATTTAATTTCTTTAACTCCATTCTTATTATTTATGTTCTCGTAAACTTTTATCTAAAACACCGAGGAGAAATACATAAGTGTTGCTTTGATACTTAAGAGCGGAAAAAAGTATTTAACAATATGACAATTTGATCGGTATAGCGTTAAGCGATGGGTTTTCCTCGGCATTCCAAATAGCTGTCAGAATCTGTGAAAGACACGCAAAATACACCGTTTGTTATCGTAATCGAAAGAATCAGCCAACCAGCTCCCGAACTGTCCCGAAATGCATTTTCCTATATTCGGCGACTTGCTGGCGGCGGTTTTAGTGTCGCGAGCCTGTATACGAACTATGCGCCACGAGAGGACTAGTCTTTGTCGCTATTTTGGGGAATGGACGCAGGGACGACGCGAATACGTTCGATCGATGAATCACTCAGTACACCGTGACGTTGACGCGGCGCGTTGGCGCGAGGGAGACGAGAGCCACGAGTTCCATGCCGGCACCGGCCGGAAAGGGGAACGGGGGGAGGACCGCTCGCGTAGAGGGGTTGGATGCACCCCGTCCTCACATACACACACATACACACACACACACACACACACACATATATATATATATATACACATATATATATATATGGTATGGCGGCTCACCGGTTGCGGGTGCAGCCTATGCAGGTGCGGGTGTATTAAAAAGCGGGGGTGGCTGCGGTCGCGTACCAATCACCCGACAGGGACGAGGGGGTGGCGGAGCCGTGGGGCGAGAGACGGGCTACGGGGATCGGATAGAACGGCAACCGGACGATCGGGGGCAGTCACGACGCAGAGAGGGATCATATATAAACGGTTCATTGAGAGAGATAGAGAGAGAAAGAGAGAGAAGGCGCGAGAGATAGAAGGGAAGAGGGAGTGAGAGAGAGAGAGAGAGCACATTCGGGTTCATGCAGCTTGCCGTGAAATTTTAATCGTGTCGTCATTGGGGTAGTTTGTTTCGATAACCTGACCAGCATAGACATACGGATTTCGGGGGAAAAAAGAGAGCAAAGGGTAGAAAATCGTGCCATCGTCGAACATTACCGTTCTTTTTTTTATACGTTTTTTTTTCGTGCTCTTCTGGGGGACGGTATGTCGACCGCATGTACTAAGCGCGACACGCGCGTTACATTCATTAGCGGTGCGAAAGTAAAAGTCGGTGCAAAATTTATTTGCATGGCGGAAATCTGGACATTCCTAGAAACGATTTGCGTAAATTATACAGATTGATTCTGTTATAGTTTATAGTATTTGGTAGAAACACTTATAACGTAGGGAGTCTTGTAGCAAAGATAATTGTGGTGTAAAGATGTCACGAGGGCACTCGCAGAATGAAAATAGATCGAAAAATGTGAAGCGGAGAGAGAGATTCATGGAGGCACGGACGTGTCGGCATTATTGCTCATTTGATCCGCGCATCGGAAAATAATGTAGAAAATTGTTTTGCGGTCTTTTTATCTCGATTTCAGGGACGCTGGTCAGCGCGCGGGGCTGACGGGTGCTTTGTCTGTTTTCCATCAATCACGCGGACCTTTTCACCGTGCGGATATCGAGCCTGCCCGTTTTTGCGTGCGGTGCATCCCGCTCGATTGCAATCGCGGCGAATTATTGAATCTGCTGCATCTCGTCCGACCGGATTAGGTTGCACGCGCGGATCGTTCGATACACGATTGCAATTTGTTCACTTTATCACGAAGCGCTGTAAGAACATATCGCGTGCGATGCATTTTTTAAGAAATAATGGAAGTAAAATCGTTGAAAAATACACATTAACTTCAATTATTTCATGCATAACGTTTTAATTATCGCTCAAAGAATACCGAAAAAAATATATTGATTATTTTAAAATTAATTAGATTTTACGCAAGGATAACAGCGATTGCAAATAATAATTCTATGATATATGTGTGATGTGTGTGTGTGTGTGATGTGTGTGTGCGCGCGCGCGCGCGCACACACACACACATAATTAAACATTGCTGCACTTACCAGCTCGATGAGCACGAGAGGTCCTTAACGAAACCTGCATTAATCATATGAGAGAGTAAATCAATATCATGGAACGAATGATATTACTTTATTTGATGACGTACTTAAACAATGAGTGATTTTGATTAAGGCCAGTAGTCACGCGTACATACAGCGTCGTCAAAACGACTCGTAGATTATGTAAACGATAATTACATAACGACACTCTTTCTATGGATATCGATATCTCTGCGTCTCTTAAAAATGACGTTGTCTCGTAAAAAAGAGACAATGGCTTGATAAAGAATGTGACTTGGCCAGGACCTTTTAATATGATGATATTTACAATAGGTAGGTTACTCGCGTAATTTCGCTTTTACCCGAAAAAATGTCATCTGCCACACGAGTATTTTTTTACGCATTCTTTCCTGAAGTCGACGGTATAACATTTTCGGAGAACAGAAACAAAGTAACTTTGAAAAAAAGAAACAAATAACAAATACATTCCAATTTGAGGAATTCGTTTTTCTACGTTAAGATATATCATGTTGCGCGCGCATCGATAGCGTACTCGTGTAGTCGATAAGACATTCAGGAAGTTTAAATATAATCGAGGAATGACGAGAGGGTAGTGTGCTGCTTAACGTTTACTTGGAACATTAAGTTGTATAATAATCGGACGTCATTGTATATATGTACATACTATATGCGAACGTAAACCCTGGTTAGTCCACGAGTCCATGACAGTTCTTAGACGATACCGCAACGGGCATACGAAGAGACACGTAATTTCGACAAAGAAGTTCGTCCGAGAGTTTTGATAATTATTTTCCAAGCAGACAATTACCGCGTTACATTGCGCGAGATGTTCGCGAGCATCCGCGGGTTTGTTTTCGTTTATCTCTCGACAACTTGACGACGATGATGATATATCGCTTAGCATTGCTAAACTACTCTATAACATCGTGCAAGCTCCCACTTTTAATCTCGGATTATCTCGAGATAAGATAATAATCAATATCTGCTGATTTCTCAGCAAAATGAAGTCTTCTTCTGTGAATAGAATATATGATAAAATTTATCTAGATCCATACTTAGATCGATTCGTACTTCTTCAACAATTAAATCCCCCCGTCTTGATCATCGAATTCGTTCGAAAATCGTCGCGTTCGAAGGATTCTCGTACGTTGATTCCTCGAAGCAAACCACGTACTGGCTCTAGTAAGGTCTCCACACTTGTCTAGGTTTGGGACTTCTCTCTCTTCGTGATCTGACGGTCTCTCTCTCAACGTCTATCCCGTCCTCCTTTCTTCGCGTCGTCAGATCCTGACCGACATTTTCCTTATCTTGACCCTTCTTCGTGCTAAGATCGACCGTGCCTTCTAGACGGATTTTTACAGTTAGGTCACCGCGGCGAACGATCTGATCCTGGTCGATCTGTAGATCCGAGTCGTTTAGATTCTCTATGCTCTGCCGTAAATGAATCGATGCTTCTTGGAAAGTAGCGTCTGTGGACGCCGCGTCCTCCAAGTCACTTCTGATCGGCGAGATTCTTGGGGAATCTTGCTCAGGTATAGACTCGTCGCTTCTAATGCGATCTCTATTCAGATCTTGATCGTTCTTATCGTCAACCTCGATACTATCGTCCGGACTATCTAGTCCGGATCGACGTAAAGCGCCTTGATCGTCTCCCCTCCGCTCTTCGTCCTTCGTACTGCTCTCAGGACTGTCGCTGCTGCTTCTGAGCTTCCTGAGTTCCTCCAATCGGGCGTGATCTGGTCTCTGCAATCGCTGCTGAGCCATTCTCAAGGCCAAAGCGTGCCATTCCGGCTCCAGGATGTACTGTTGCGTGTGATACAGGGGGTTGTAGAGCCAGGAGGACTGCGGTAACAATGGCGCGAATATCGATCCGAAAATGGATCCTGTGGCACCCAGCAAATGAAGACCTGTGTTACAAACAAGAAATACGCAACGTCAAACTTAGCGGGTCACGTGTTCAAGAATCGAACTGGTTGGTTGGATGATCTTTTTTACCTTGAAAATGCGAGTGTCCAGACGGGCTGGGCGTCGTGGTGGTAGTGGTCGACTCGGCAGGAGGCGTTGGCGCCGTCACAGAAGCCGTCGTCAGCAAGCCCGGTCCGGGATTTCCAGGTGACGTTGTCGGCGTTACTTCTCTCACCGACACGCTGATGGGACCCAGGTCATTTCTCGAAGATTCTTACGGACACATCAATTTACATACTTATTAATCGTTTAATATCTCGCTCGAAGTAACGCCATTATTTAAATAACACGTTCTTTTTTCGTTTCATTCAAATTTCGTTGCTGCAGAATTTTTTTTTAATATGAGAATTTTGTGCCTTTACCAGTATTAGGTCCAGGTAGTCTCGGGGACCTCTGTTCGATAGCATGATGGAAGGGGTTGAAGGCCGATGCACCAACTGGCTGTGGATGTGTGTGCGGATGGTGACCGGGGGGTGGTGGAAGACAGTGCGGTGGTAGAGATCCTCGGGGTAACCCACCCCATCCCTGGCCCGCTCCTTGCTCCAGACCCAGGTGTTGCAATCCTGTGCAATCAAAGAAATGCAGATTACACGTTTCCAAGAATTCTGTTTATTCAGCGTCTCCGCTGTCATCACGCTACAGTGATCTCTAGATCGTCTGGAAATATTTGCAATGGAAGAGATCTTTATTTTACATGTAATTTATACATGTATCTACATATTAAAATAGTGTAAAAAATATTGAGATATTCTATTAATTATTTATGAGAAAAATTGCACGAAAGGAACAATTTTGCTTGCAAATTTAAAAATTTAGTTAGATACAGATTTGAATATAATTTTGTGAGTCCCTCAAAATTATTATGTATGACAAATTGATTGCTAGAAAATTGAAAACTTTGTTACATTATTGTGTTTAAATGTCCTACATAATAATTTTGATGGTTCAACAAAATTATTTTCAGATCTATATCTGGTCAAATCTTCAGATTTGTTAGCAAAAAAATCATTCTCTTCGTGTGACATTACAAAATGTGATAAAATTTTTCAGAAAAGACTAACGCAATGTAGCCGACAATACCTGAAAGTGACTGATACGATCGTTTTGTGACAAGACGTAAAATATTTCTGGGCATCACGGTAGTGTTGTATAATTTTTGGCAGGTAAACGGTGATCGACTGACAGTTGGAGTCGTAGAAACGCATCCCTTTGACATAGAGGCGGTTTTGACGTGGATGGACAGTTAAATTTATCCAACAGAGAATGCAGAGACGATCGATCACCTTTTTTTCGATAATAGCCAATATCGCGTGGCCGCACAAGCATGTGTTTGAATGCAATTAAATTTATGACATCAAAAAGTTCGTTCAAGCGTGATTGGTTGGACAAACCAACTGACATAAGTCGCATCAGTGCTTTTGCTATATGTTTATATGTTTAAAACAATAAATTTTAAAACAATTTTTTTCTCATTTTTTTTAAATGTAAAATGTGCTTCTTCTCTAGGAGGGGGACGCACTATTCATTATCAAAAGATTACGAAAGAGAAGAAAAGTTTATTTGTTCGCTTTACATAATGCGTAAGCAATATAATGCGATTGATTTTCGATGAGTCGCGGTGCAAGAAGAACGGTGCAAGAAGTAAGCACCGTGGTCATCAACGTGGTATCGGTTTTTCGAAAGACCTTGATCAATAACAGATTATGCCGTCATCTGTGCGGGGCAGTTTAAAAATTCCGTGAAGGCTGCCGCGAAGCCACCGTGCGCGACGGGGGAGTGGAGTTCCGGCGGGGTGGCAAAACAGGGGAAACGTGCTTCGACGGAGCGGGGAGAATTGTCCGGTCACTGGCACGAGGGCGTGACCATCAAGACACGCAGATCGCCCCATTGGCTGTTCGTACGCTCCCACCAGTCGCGCCGCGACGGGTGGTGGGACGTGAAAAAGCTCGGTAGGGGCTGAAGGGGTGATTTTTAAGCTCTCTTTAAGCCGCGCGCGCTCGCCAGGGAGGACACCGCTATCTCGCGTCCTACCACACCGGCGTGGCACACTGAACGGACCAGCCGTGTGAGAGCTCGTAGCCCTCCTACTTTATGAGGGGGATTAAGAAAACGATAAGAGACGCGCGAAAGCACCGCTGCCACCGAGCTTACGAAGGCCAACGGACGGCTTCCGTTGGCAGGAGCATGAATAAGAACCGCTTCGGTAAGCTCTTCAGCATCCGGATTCTTAGATGACGGACGTACCGTGCGAATATTGTCCGATAACTGACAATTCGTCAGTTTTTCCTCAATCAAATTTAATTCATTGCTTTAAAGATAATTTTTTTTTTATATTAATTCTATCGATAAAATTTACATATAATTTGTATAAAGATTAAATCGTTTTGTCTATCTCGCAATAATAGAGAGAATTATTTGAGAATATAAATTTGATATTTAAAAAAAATATTTAGCAACGTCTCTTCATCTAAAACAATTTTGTCAAATTTGCATGTGAGACAGAAACGTTCGACATGGCATCCTTTTCAGAACGGGTATGTAACATATTTTCAATTTAATAAACCTCGAAAATGCCGTGCACCCCTCTTTCGACGGAACTCGCGTGCCGAGTTGGGTTCGGCTGGCGGGCGATAATTCCGAAAACAAATGAAGACTAATGAGGGGTGGGTCCCGGCGAGATCTGGGAAAGAGTGAGAGCGAGGGAGACAGAAATGCGGGAGACGCGAGGCTGAAAGGGTTCAAGGAGCCGCCGCTACCCTTTAAGGGGTGAGAAATGTTAAGCTTAAACGTTACGCCCTAGGGTTAGTTGCCTTTGCGTGTGCCTTCCATCGGGGACTTTAAGGGATGATGTATTATCGAGCAGCGTGCTCAAAATGTGCTACGTACTTTGGTCGCGCCGTTCCCGAGATGCGGTAATGTGACGTCACGTGTAATATGAGCTTTTAAGCGTAGCTTTATATACGTTTCGCCGCCGAGCAGCCCGCGGGGTGAATTAAATTTGGTCACGTCGATTACATCGGCGCGACGCGAAATTTTGACTACACTTTTCACCCGCAATTATTATTACCATAATATCGTAGCGATTTCTTTAAATCTGAAGATAAATCGCATGGGTTATGTCTTTTATATATTGGACGTCTTAAAAATTTACATATTTGTTTGCAGCGATGAAACTTAAAGAGCGAACTTTGAAAATATTTGAAACCCATCACGCAGTTTGTAAATGAAGGGGAAAGTCCTTCAAGTACTTCGCCTTAAACCTCCTTGATCTCACCACCCTGAGATACATAATAAATTAATTCGCGTATTTTCCTGTCTGTCTTATCTATTCAAATCTATGCAAAACAGGCGTTAAAAACGCCCTTCTTGCTGCTAAGGCGTTAACCCTTGCGGAGCTTGATCTCTTCCTCTTTCTACAGTCTCTTCGTTTCCTCTCTGTTACTCTCTTCGACTCGCTCGTCGTTCCTCTTTCCGCCTTGCGTTCTATCCTCTAGCTACTGCTGGTTGGATGTCTTTGCACACCCACCCTTTGCGCCCGTTCTCATTATCGCGTCGCAGCAACCCCTAAAATGCCACCCTGGAAAGGTCCCTGGCACCGATCTAAGCTCCACGAGGAGATATTTCGAGAAAGGACGAGAAAATTGCTATCTCTCTCTCTCTTCTTCTTCTCTATCTTTATCCCGTTGCTGTGAGATTTTCTCTTTGAAGTCGAGAAAGAGCGCAAAAATGACGGATCTTTTAAGAAATTGGCAATGCTTAGCGATGCATAAATTTTCATTTTTCATTCACTATTTATTATTAGTTCGATGATTACATAAATTTTAATAATAATAATAATAATAATAATAATAATAATATTTAATAATAATAATAATTGTATTATTATCATTAATTGTGTAATAATTAATTTAACAAATGCGTTAGAAAATTATGTAATTTTATTAAACTGTTGGAGAGAAATTGACATAGGTAAAAATTAATTTTATCAAAATACCTATCAGATGTTAAGGGATAAATTCCTATCAGTTAAAACTTTTTCGCACATAAATTTTTGTAATAACTATTACTTGATTGCGTTTGGCATAGTCAATATTAAGTTTAATAACAACATATGATATCATAAATAGAACGTGGCTGAACGCGGAGAAAAACCGTGTTAAAGATAAATCGATTTCAAGACTATCGCAAGACGCTATCAGGTTTCTATCTTTTAGGCTCGGTGGATTTTCGTCGGTGATAGGAAAGGAGACGGGAGAGGAGAGACCGAGGCTACAGAGAGCGTCATTAGTTACCGTCGCTTCCAGAGAAAGGTCCCGGTCGCCGGACCTGATTAAAAGACGGAACACCCCGAGACGCCCTTGCAAGACGCACTGAGGGGGTGAAATGTGACGCGAATTTAAAGGATCCGCAGTGATTCGACACGGGGATGGACAGGAACAACCCTTAAAAAGGTTCCCTTTAAGGATCGCACGCCTGAAGGGTTGTCGTCGTGTTCAGCTTTTCGTATATGTGAGAAAGAACCCTTTAAACGCGTCGCATTGTAAATCAGGTACAATGCGTTTAAATTTGTGAGAGAAATATAATCTAACGATCGTAGCAGGTTACATAAAACTCGTCGTGATTACATTAATCTAGTAAGATTTATAGTATTTTCACATTTTGCATTACATTTGGTAGTATTATTATTATAGTAGTACCGATATATTTGTATAAAATGGTTATTAATAACATATGGAACGTGAAAGAGATTCTTGCAACTTTTTCGATAGCAAATGATATGTTTGGCGAGAAGAGAGATCCGCTTTAAAGAAAGTCGCGAATTTACTGCAAAACGATCCAGAAACGAAGCGACAGTTTTAAACTGAGCGTTCCTAACAATCTCCCCCAAATGAGGTAAAGGCCACCTTATTGAAACAGGGGTCGCGATTTTTCCGGTTCTCTTCTCAACCTCTCTGCTATCCCGCCTCTCCCTCGTAGGCGGTTAATTGACACGGGAGAGCGGAAAGAGGGAGGGCAGATTGGGGCTGCACGAGCTGTTCTTGTTAACTCGAATCTTGGCACCTTGCGATTTTTCATCCCCTTAGCCAGACTGACAAAGACGACGGGCTCGGCCTCTCGGGACGCGCGCGATCGGGGTGTTCATGGACAATCTCAGTGATGATCAGATACGTGCGGTATCTGTCACCGAATACATTAATAGTAGTTTCTAGAGATCGTTTCTGAATGTATCGTTAAATTTTCAAAAATTATTATAGTAGAAGAATCGGAAAATATTTGTCCTTCAATTTTTCGGATATTAGACCTTAAAATTCTATCTTTAATAATTCAATAATTTGTTGCAAGTAATTTTGAATAAAAACGAAGAAGACAGATTGTGTTAAAAAGAGTTTTAAAAATCGTAAATGCTGCTTTTAGATGCAAAGATATATAATATTAAATTAATAATAAAATAAGTGACATGTAATATCGAGATTGATGGAAAAGATAAAATTAAAAAAACGATATCGGAGATCGAAAGGAGGAAAAGACGCGTGGCCCGTCCGTCGGACCTCGGCGTTCTCACGAAGCCCTTAGGGAGCCCATAAAATTCGTCCCTGCTGTCGAGGTAGGCCCGAACGAAATTTAATAACATCCCCCTAGTTACACCTCAATGGGCACCTTAACAACCCTGCACGGACAGCCACTCGTCTCACGCCCTCGATAGTGCTCTTCCCTTTCTCCTTATCAACCCTCCTGGCGTAGATATCTAATAAACCACCTCTTGAACACCCTTACCTAGTCAGCGATACCCAGCGGCTGAGCAGTTTGGAAAGTTCGAAAGGTGCTCGACTGACCGACCCTCTGCTGGACTGGACGGAGGCGCAACCTGTGAGTCAACCGGTGAACTCCTAGCGAAAGGGTTGAAAAAACTCGCGAGCACATCACTCGAAATAAACCGATCGATATTCGTTGAGTGCCGTTTGCAGCCGTTTGTAGCCGAAACAATGTAGGTGACCCAATTGTGCGAATACAATTTATCCGGTGACGTGCTAAAACCGTGCACCAATAATTCGCACTGTATCTCTAATGAATTTGCATTCTTATAAATATTGACAAAAAGCTCCAGATTGATTCCAACCGTAATTAAGCCGTTAAGAATTTTTATTAAAACGCAATTTTTTTCTTCTTTTTTTTTTATATTTTATTAAAAAGCGATTGTAGTCTCTGAGAGATTTATTTAAAAAAAAAAATGTCGCTTGATTTCTGTGATTATTCAGCCTAAGGCCACCATCGGTGAAAAATCACGTTAGAACAATTCACGGACCGAATCGCGACGACAAGAAATGCAAAGAGAAGAAAAGTTAAAGCTTCGGCGTACTACCGGGCGCGGCAGTGGCTGATTCTTGATTGAGCAGACCGGGGTTGCGAGGGTTGGCGGGAATAGCAGCGAGAAATCGACGGCAGGACTGCCATCCCGTAGTACGCCTCGGGGATAGGAGGGAGCGAAGCTCCGTTAAGCCGCTTATCATGCCGAAACAATACACTGTCGGTGCACCAGTATCAGTACCCGACCCTCACTGCTCCGGGCTAGTCCCATCAAAATTTGGAGCTTCGAACGAGTTTCAATGGAATTCGTGCCACCCGACTGTCCTGTCGAACCGGCCGGATACCTGAAAACTTTTTCGAAAACGTTGGCGACGGTGAAACGTTTAAACCATCGTTTATATTACAGCGAACGCATTATTGTCCCAAAGAAAGATGCTGTTTGATTACGCGCTAAAAACAGCCCCGAGCAATTTCGTGATTTATTTAATGAAATTTTTTGCATTTATCAAATATTTTTTGCAAATAGTACTGCAAATATCATAAAATTGTGATGTAAAAGTCGAAAAAAAAAAAAAGAAGAGATTCAATTTGATCGTTTAAGTTGGAAAGGTATTTTATCGCGCCCGTAAGCCACTCGATGGCAAAGTTAACGGAGCCAAAGTTTATTCGCGACTTCTCCGGGTGTGCGGGAACTGAGCGGCTTCCTCGAAACGAAAAGGCAGAGTTCGCGCCTGGGGCTTAATCAGAGTCTTCTCCACTTAGAGGCCGGTGGCAAAACTCAATTTTGAGTCGGTGCCTGCCGACGCTCAATTTTGACACCCTTCGCAGCCACGAAGCTAGCGCGCGCGAGAGAAGAGGGCGTCGACCCTGGCCCGCCAAAGTTGCCGCAGTTGCTCTCCTCTCGGGAGGGGCACGGCACAGGGTTGTAAACTTAGTTATCTATCGACGGGGAGACGTGCCGAGAGACTGAAGGTGAGCTCCTCGCTGGAACCAGGTATCCGCGTAAATTTGCTGCGACGAAGACGCGACGGAGGCCGCGCGCGTGTCTTTGATTAGAAAGCACCCGACTTACCCGACAGTTTGAATCCCAACGGGTCCTGCGGATGTCCGAAGGGGAATGGACGAGGTCCGAAGTGAAAGGGATGAAAAGCCTGGTGTCCTGCAACGTGGGATGAATTCATAAATCGTTTTCGTCGAGCGAGTCAAATCGCGACGGTTCGGGACTCATGAATTTTTCCGACAAAATAACATTTGCCTCGTTCGCTTCGTTAATCAACATTTGTAATTAACTTTGGTCATGGGTGAACTTTAAGTTAAAAAATTATTATCTTCAGTGGGTAAGGTCGTACTCACTTGTCTTCGAACGTGGTTCTCTTGGGCCGTCCACGGTCACCTTGATCGCCTTCGACAAGGTGGCCACCTGCGGCGGCGACGTCTGCAGCATGATGGTTAGAGTGAAGCTTTTCCCTAAAACAACGAGAACGGAAGCAGATTAGGAGAGGACGAGAAAGAATTATCTCCCGGCGGTAAAAGGCGAGAGGCGAGATTTTCTCAATGGGACGATGCATATTCATATCTTGGCTCCGTTGCCAGATCACAAACCATAAAGACACGGTTGATCTCGCGCTCCTTGGTTCGTACAGACTTTATTATTCATATCCAATTCGCGGGTCACCAAGAGAGATATTTTCAGTACGTTCAACTTTATAAATTTGCACTCGCTTTACGTTTTTTTTTTTACCTTTTTTTAAATCAAATACTTTATTAAGAGCACATTAGGATATCGAAGTAAAGATATGTTTTACATAATAATAACTGCGACACATTTTGTGCGCGTTAATCGAATTACGCTGACATTTAAATGGCTGCAACTATCGAAATTTCTTGGCGGATTTAATCCGTTGCTATCGTGAAGGATATGTGCTCGATGGCGTGCACGCGCGAAACGGCAATACGCGCGCGGTGCGCTCGCTGGAAACAAAATACAAATGTGCCGGAAGTAAGGGGTGAACGAGTGACGCCACCGCGTCGATGTTTGTTCCCGTATAGGCTGGAATATGTTAATGTTGTGCCGGCGCTAAACGCGACCCCCCCTTCCCCCAAAATACGCAGTCTACCATTACGCGCGTTTCGTCCTTTTGGTCCTTTTAGTAATATCCAATAGTTCGATAGATCTTCCCTGCCGATTACATCGAAATTTTGAGACGATAACCTCATCTGATATGGTATCTTGCGATATTGTGATAATTATATTTTTTTGTGTTACGCGTATTATTATTACTTAAAAAAAAAATATATATATATATTTAAGCATATAAGCGTGTTTTTTAATCTTTTATTAAACGACGGATTATTCTATCGAAGTTATATTATATTTACGCATTGATTGAGGCTACCATAGAACTGAAATACAGCTTTTGATTTTTATAATCTAGATACCTCTCGCCCTATATTAATATATTTTTTTTTGCACCGTTACTGTTTTTCGTTCTCCAAGTTCGTCGATGACCTGAAACAATATTGGCAAACGCGCAGATGAAGCGCGACTCGTAACTGGCCGGGCCGTTTACTAAATTTCGATGTTTTCAGCACAAATATTTCAATCGATGACGCGCGCGCGTCGCACGGAATTCGTCACGCGTTCGACGCACCGGACCCGGTAATCGCGCGTACGCGAAATAAAACGCGGGGGCGGCCGGCCATCTCGTCGGCGTCGCATCGCGCGATCCGCCGAGCGAAGAAAATAGCAGCTCGCGACGAGCGGGGCAAAAAGTGCCGGGCAGCGGCAGAGCGCGAGGCAAGCGCGTTTACGCGCTTTTCCGTACGTCCGCGACAATAAAGTTATACAGCTTATAATGGCGTTGCCAAGTGCGGCCGGTATGTACATACACGCGGCGCGGTTGGGTAGTTTTATTTTATGGCGGCGCGGCCGGGCCCCCTCCCCCCCCCCTCTCCGCCCCGGTAAACGACCGCGTTTTTACGGTGAACCACGACATTTAACCGGCTTACCGCCCGTCGCCGGGCGAAATACCGGACTTTAACTTCGCTAAGGGTGTCGTGCCATTTCCAGCGCGCTCCCTTCCGCTCGCGTCGCGCGGTGATTGGCCGCTATTTTCGCGCCACATTGTTTCACAATGTCTATCCAAATAGTTTGGATTGATTTTACATTTTGCGCATATCGTTTATACTTCGTTCTATATCGAGGATATGGAATGGATTTTGTATTTCGCCTCTTTCGCCTCGTCGTTTCTCCGAAAAAAATTAATTTTCTGTATTTCTTCACGAGGTGCACGACGCGCACTCGAGTGAGATACCGTTTTTTTTCAATTCGTGAAAACGATATGTCGTGTCTCACAGGACGGACGTGACGAAAGATTTTGTTGGAGAAATTTCGCGGCTGAGAGCTAACGAGACCGAAGTTTATTGCCAACGTGGTGTCAGGCGCGAGAGAGCGGCGGCAACGCGAATCAGGGGTGATGGCAGGCATTTTGAGGGTGTTTATGAGGCATTATGTGTAACTCGCTGGAAGAACGATCCACCCTTCGGGGTTTACACCATTTCCCTCTCTTCTCCGACTTATCCGTATCTAGCGAGATTCTAATTCATCGGTTGTACACGAATAAGATACGATCACAGTGACCAATTGCACGTGAAAACGACTTTTTCATTCTTGGAAATTTTGTTGTAATCTGATTTCAACAAAACTGATTCCGATTTACGAGATTCGATTTATGAGATTTCGCGTATCGTCCAGCTTTTTTCACCCGCTTTCTTGTTTCTCGTTTTAAACGCTTCTTTACGCACCGAGGATTTTATCGTCGATGATAGTATCCTTTGTACTCGCAAACAAGTTTGAAAAAAATTAAAACTAATCCACACGCGTCGTACGTCACTTTTATCCAACAAAATATTGCCTGGTCGCAGACGCGATTGAGAGGATCCATAAAGATTATGATGTCCGAGTGGGCTGTAGAATTTTTCGTCATACCGGACTTTTTCGGAAGATTACTGAAAGGATCGCATTTTTTGCACGACAATGTATTCTATATGTTAATATTTCCCAAATACATATTTCAAAATTTGTGTCGAGGGGAAAGACGTAGGTATGGAAAATTAATTCTTGCATAAGAATTCGTGCATCGATCGTGATAGAGGTGCGGTTAGTTAGTTTGAAGTATTTACTTTCTCAAATTCTCCTCGCAATGATTTAGCAGGTCCAAATAGCGGCTGAGAAATTAATTCGGGCGAGGTTGGCTCGCGTCCACTTACGCGACAAGAATTGTGCGAGAAGACACGAGAGACGCTCACGTTCGCCCTAAGTTTACTCAGGGATCATGCAGTGTTAAAAACTCCCCTGTTTGCCGGCGAGGCGAGTGCGAGTGCGAGTGCGAGGGTTGCTCGGATCGTTATTTCCGAGTGTTTGTCGTGTTTTAAGATTCTGACGTTTTGACTACCCCGAATCACGGTAAACGAGGCCGAGCGTGTGTATCGCCGTGACATGTTTGAAAGGAAATTCTTTTTTTTTTATCTTTTTCACCTTCGCACGCGCATCCGTCGCACAAAATCTTAAACGAACGCGTTGCGGATCGACGAAAGACTGATATAAATATTAATATTTTCGATTTTTTCACGATGCTGCATTAAAAACATAAAAATAAAATAAATTAATTATAGTAAGGAACGTCATTGTCACAGACGCGACGTTAATGTCGCGATGATTTTGGTTGAAATTTTGATTTGGTATAAATTTTCGCGAGGATCAGATTCTCGCTGGCGATAATCGCAACGTCGAGCATAACGACTTTCAGATGCGACGGCGCGACTGGGCGAGTGGTCATTGAAGCGTTTGCAAAAGCCTGCCTTGCTGTTGGCGCGACGGAATGAGGAGCGAAAAATATCGAGAAAATAAAGTAGGGAAACGTGGAATTAATATATGTGAAAGAAACGGATATGTACGTACGCATGCGACCCATACTACAGACCAGAGCGGAAAATAATGTTTAATCGGTAGAAAATCTCGGCGCAGCCATCCGCCATAGAATCTCGCGCTTCTCGACCTCCCCCGCGCCCTTGCAGTCCCTTCCGCGATCCCTTACTTGACCGAGGGATGGATTTTTTAATTTTTAATTGGCAAAAAACGTCGCCGCGAGGTGGTCGCCGGATGAGATTTGCGAACCACTCTCGTGAATTTAACTGGCGTATTCGGAAATATCTTTAAAAGTATTTCTTCAGAAATTGCTCACACACACACACACGCGCGCGCGCACACACACACACACACACACACACACATTCTCGTTGCTGGAAATTAATTTTTCTATTTCAAAAGTTAACTTTTTTTTTTAAACATCAGTCTATTAATACTTGACGCGAATCTGAGAGATTGGAGTGAAACTATAATCATCAATCATCGTTTACCATTTCAAAAAATTTCCATTCGATTATTCGGCAGATTTTTTTTTTAGATGAGCGTTACCGTAATGAAGTGTCTGTGGCTCGTTATAATTCGGAGAATTAACAAATCGAGGGGAAGTTTTTAGTGGATCGGACGCGCTTCAAAGCAAAGTATCGCCGATTGCGGGGGCAAGCGATTGCAACAGCTGTTCGGTCGACCAGAGCAGAGAGCCGCTATTTTAAAAGGTCGATGAAAACGAACGTCGACCCTTCTCAACGACGACGACGGACCTTTACGACTTATTAAATCATTTTCGTTCCGTACAGAACAACTCCTCCTGACAGCTTCTTTGAATAATTTCTCGTAGATTTATTACGAAGAAATCTTGTTGCAGTTTTACCCAAAAAAAAACAGAAATCGTTATCATTTTAACCGGTTTGGAAAGATGTTATCTCGTTCGAGGAAAGAAACGTGGACGTAATTTATATATGGCAATTTGGAGGCAAGCTTCTACAGCGCGCTGGCATTGACTAAAGTGTCGATATTCGAATCGTGTCGTTTTTCTTCGGATCTCTCGTAAGGAGATATCGAAGATTCGGATCTACGCTCGCGAC